TGTTGGGCCCGTCCCCCTGGCGCCCCCCCCCCCCCCCCAAGTTGTGGGTCTGTCTCTTGTCTCTCCCCCCTGCTCTCTTGTCACATCTTGTGGCTGTCTTGTGTCTCTTGCTCTCTCTCTTGCTCTCTCTCTCCATGTCTCTCGCGCCTCATCTCTCATCTCTCTCTCTCGTTATGTGTCTGTCCTGCGAGTTTGTCTCATTGCATGTCTCTTGGCTCTTGCCTGGTGTCTCTCTTGTCTCTCTCTCGCTAGCTGCATGTCGCTCTCTCATTGTGCAGGTCTCCACCTCACTCTCGGGGCCCATCTCTTGCTGCATGCCTCTCTCGCAGCTCATTCTGCCTCGCTCGTTGTTTGTCCGTGTCTGTCTCACTGTGTGTGACTCGTGTCTGTCTCTGTCTCATCTCTCTTATGTCTGTTTCTCATGTCTCTTGTTCTGTCACACTCTCTAGTTGCGCCTGTGTCCATCTCTAGTGTCTCTCTCATCTCATGTTCCCTCTCTATTTGTGTGTCCCCCTGTCTCTTTGTGCCTGTCTCGTGTCGGCCTCATGTGCTTGTCGCCTCTTGTTCTCTCTCTCTTGTTGTGTATGTCTCGTGTCAGTCTCTCGGTGTGTCTGTCTCTCTCGTGTGCCTGTCTCTGTCTCTCGTGCGTCTCTTCTGCCTGCCTCATTGTGTATCTGTTTGTCTCTCATCTCACGTCGCCTCTCACGTTGTCTCATGTTCTCTCTCACATTGTGTGTGCCTCTCAAGCTTGCACGCTGTCTCTCTCCTGCTGTAGCTCTTTCACATTGTCTGCGTGCCTCCGTATCTCTCACGTTGCATGTGTGCGCGCCTCATGTTCTCTGTGTGTGTCTCCCTCCCACCTTGTCTCTCTCTTGCTCCCTCCACCTTGTCCCTCTCCCTTCCCACCTCGTCTCCCCCACCTTGTCTATAGCACCTTCTCTCTCACCTTGTCTCTCTCCCTACCTTGTATCGCCACCCCCCATTCTAAAGCTCTTTATGTCTTTTGACCACTCTCT